GGTGGCGCGCAGCCAATGTGACGAATGTACCACCGCTTTGCACGACTGACGTCGGCAGATAAAGTGCTCGTCGGTGGACGGGAGGACGCGGGTGATGAAATCGGTGAGGTGTGTGGGATAGTCGTCAGAGTCCAAGAACTCAAGGAGGGTCCCGGTGCTGTTTGCGCGCAATGCCTCGGTGAGGTGCTGTCTCTCCCATTTGTGGAACATGAGGAATAGGTCTCGTCGGTCCTCGGGTGCCAGGTTGATGAGGTCGAGGCACATGGTTTCGGCGAGGAACTTGGAGTGGTCGCTGATGAGGCGGCGAAGGTGGTTGTTGGAGGTTCCGGGGTGGATCTCGCGCAAGGAGTCCATCATGTCCGTGTGGGTGTTCGTGCGGATGGTGCCGACGGCCTTGTTGGTCATGTAGTCCAAGCGGCGTCGCCATGCTCGTCGGCACAGCTTGCTGAACACCTCGAGGGTGAATGGCCGGCGGTTCTTCACGTCGAGGGCTGGTACCCTGATCCAGCGGCGGTTGACCTGGTCCCACCTGTGCACGGTGATGTAGGCGTCGTGAGCGTCGTCCGTCTCTGGCACCGCAATCTGTAAGGTCGGTGGGGCGATGGTATGGTCGCTGATCATGGCCGCGAGGTCGGGGTGCTCTGCGATGGTGTTGTACGGTGCGTGTTCTGCAATCAGGGAGTTCGGGTCGGCCAGGAGCTCCTCGAACTGGAACCACGGCACGCTACTGGTGTCGCAGGTAGCGCACCCGTAGCACGCCCCGACCCACTTGTTTCGCCAGTCGGTTTCCTCTGAGAAGCAGAGGGGCATGATGTACTGGGATTGGTATGGGATCTGGCAGAACGAGCACTGCAGTGTGGCTGGTGTTGGATTCAGGTTGTGCCAGTCCAGCAGCAGGTAGCGTGTCCGTGTGTCCGGCTCGGTGTTGGTCGACTCCATGAAGAGGTCGATCGCGTCCGTGGTGGAGAGGCGGGGATTCTCGGTGCGGAAGGTCTGGAACCTCGAGAGGACGCCGGTGTTGTAGGACCGCAGGAGGAGCTCGCAGACTGCGTCGGTCTCGCGAAGTGCCATGTTGTGCGAAGGGGGTGCGATATCGGATACACAAAAGCCAGCCTGAAAATTCCTTCGGAATTGGAGGTGGCGCTTGCCGAACTCACGCAGGAGTCGGTAGTGTGCCGGGTGTGAGTCAAAGGGGGGGGGGTTGGTCGGGCCAGGGGGGTGTGTCTAGGTGACTCGGGTCCAAGGATGGCCCGTTGATGGGGGGGATCTGTACGACGCGCCACACCGGCACAAACGTCGTGTTAGATGACACGCCACACCGGCACAAATGTCATCCCGAGGGGTGGAGCTGTCCCGTAGGACCAACTCCCTGCGGTGTGAAGGTGACCGGGGTCGGCCAGTTTGTCATCAGGGATCCGACCCGAAGAAACCGAGGGTAATCCACAGGGGATCCGAAGTGGGGTGAAAGACCGGTCGGGTTCGGGGCAGGCGAGTGGGGATTGGTCACCGCAGTATGGGCCTCAGCAGTGGGTCGGTTTGTCAAGGGGTATCCTCTCGAATCAAACAGGGGGGACGAAGAGGGTCGACCCGGGCTCGAGGCTCTCAGCGCTTTTGCGCGGTCCGAAGATGGATCTCTCTTCGGGAAAAGGGGGCCTCAGGCGGTCGCCTAGGCATGGGTGTCACCTGTGCGGTATGAGGGTCATCGCCCTATTGCTGGCCCACCATCGCACGGGACATGGACTTGGTGGGTCAACTTAGGGTGGCGGGTTTGGAGACTCCTCGGTGCCGCCTGGTCAGTAGCGGGAGTCCTGGCTCTGCTCAGTCTTAGAGCTCCCGGTTGAAGCGCAGGTGTCCGTCGGGGCCGAGCAGGATGCCCTCGATGGTCGCCATGGTGCGTTGTTCGGGGGTCAGGAAATTGGAAATTGTCTCAATGATGGTCTCCCCGAAGGTGATTGCCATGTTGTCCACAAAAGGGTCTCGCCGGGAGGCGCGACAGAGCTGCCTCCCGAAGGTAAGCCAGGAACAGGTCAGTTGTTGTAGCATGTGCTGCCGGTTGGCGCTGTTGAGCAGCTGGAGTTGTTGGTGAACGTGTTGCTGGATAATCCAGCGCAGCAGGCTCCTGAGAGGTGTGACCTGCGTAGTTGGTTCCACGGGTACAAGAAAAAGGCCCCCGAAGTCATTGCCGTACACATTGGTGGGGGTGCGCGAGAAGATGCCGTAGTTGGTCAGGTGCCATTGCAAGCCGATGTGGTCGAGGACGGAGGGGAATTCCGGTAGCAGTTCCGGATTGATCAGGAAGGTGGCATCTTCGTGTACCCGCGCGCGGATGTGTCCGGCCCGCTGGGTTGACAGCAGGCCTTGTGTGCTGTCGTCACGGTCGATGCCTGGCGGCTGGAGCCACTGGACTAAGTCGTGATGTTGGTTGGATGGTGTGGGGGGTGCCGCCTTGGATGGTGTGGTGGGTTGCGGGCGTGGTGAAGGCATGTGGTGCGGGACGGGCCCGGTCGATGTGGTGGTCGCCTCCGGGAATCGGGCCTGTCTGGGAGTGTCGCGAGCCGTGGGTGTCGCGAAGTTGACGGTCCGCGGTGGTGTCATAGCTCGGGAGTATCCCGGTTGTGTGGAGCGGCCTCGCTGCTGTCGGGGGGTGTTGTTCCGTTGGCGAGACGGGTTCAATGTGCTTGGCGGGCCACGTGGTACCGCGTATGGCATCTGGTAGGTGCACGGATCGGGGTACCGAACGTTCATGTGGTGAATGGGCGTGTTCCACTCGCCGTGAAGGTGGTCGCGGAGGATTTCAAAGGCCTCCCGCCTGGACACGAAGCGCCATTCACGGTGGGCTGTGTCATAGTGGATGCCCACGCCGGTGTTGGGTCTGGCATGGTGCACGAAGCGCAGCCAGGCAAGAAGGTCACCATGCAGGACTGAGTCGCTGTGAACATGGCGGCATTCGGCACCACTGTCGCAAAAGCCTTCTGGATGCCGGGCCTGTTGTCGAAGATGTCGGTAACAGATGTTGTCTCGCGGCATCCAACGCGCATCAACGAACTCCGGATGCAAAAAGGCGCACTGGTGGGCAGAGGCAGGTGCACGTCCCCTGCAGCCGGAATGGTTGATGAACTGGTTGCAGACCTGATTGCCCTGCAAGATGTTGCCCGGACCGACCGCCTCGGGCAGGATCGAAAGATGGTCTTGAAGGGCCCGGTACAGTCGTTCATAATCCGGGTCGAGCTCGGTCATTTCCATGAGCTGGTACTCCTCCACGATGGATGCGAAATTCGCTGGAGCAGTCATGGCGGTCGAGCAGGCAGGGCAGGTAGGTCGGAAAGAAAAGAAAAATTTGGCTTGAGCCAAAATGGCGAACGGAGCATGAATCAAGCAGTGTCATCCTGCAGGCACTCAAGGTTCGAATCTGAGTGTGATTCAAATGCCTTCCGCTATCGGTTGTTACTTTTAACACAAGTGTTAACCGCAACCCCTCAATCCAGCCATTTGTACCCCCCCACCCCTTCGGGCATTCGCATTCCATAACTTGCTGCGATAGGTAGGGAGTGAGTTCCTCAAGCCTCCTGCAAAACATTACCGAGCAAAACCATTGCGAAACGACCAAGTGTTCAGCTTACTTGTGATCGGTGCGGTAGGGAATGAGAAATGGAATGAACCTTGGCGTTGTTGGTTCCCGGAAAAAAAAAGAAAAAAAAGAAAAAGAAAAAAACACCATCCGTTGTCATTCCATTTCTCAGGGACCCTGCTGAGCACCAGCAAGAAAGAAATGGGCAAAAGAAGCCCGGGCAAAACGTGTGCTGTTTGTTTTGTTCAAAAAACATGTTCTTAGGGAGACATGTAGCATAAACATCGGAACCCAAACTGCGAAGAAAAGAAGGACAACTTGGACCAGTCCAAACATGTGGAACAGGACAAATTGGCGGATCTGCCCAGTCCAAAGTGATAGTCAAACTCTTGCTCTTGGGAGGCATGGAAGCCAATCTGTAAACAAAACGGAGAGGCCGTTCAAACAAAAACATAGCACACACTATTTTTCGTTGATTGGTTTCAAAGGGACACCCGAGGAAAGGGCTGCCGCGGCGCAACTGGGTGGAAGCGCATCTGGGAGAAGTGCCAATCGGGCCGAAGGCAGGTTTTGCCAATCCGATTTTACTGAACCCCAATTCAGAAGCAGAAATGGTCTGCTCCAATGACATCCGGCCGTCGCTTGGACAACTGGGAGCCGACTTGGATATCTCTTCGAATCATGCCATGCACCTCTCCTTGGGACAAAAGCTATGACCATTAGTTCGAGCTTGGCAGCATAGCCATGCATCCACCAACCGCCCAAAGCTCACTCCCTACCCACCCCCCTCTCCCGTTGTTGGACGCGTCCGTGTTCTTCAAGTTCAAACATGTTGGAACCTGAACCTCTACCGCACATGGCCCCACAACTTATTCTTTTTTCGGGAAACACATGGATACCATTGGGTATGCGTCACTTTAGACCCCAACATGGTGCTATTCGTGCTGGTTAGCATGAAACAAAAACACGGCTCAAAAACACAAGCACCTCTTCCCCAAGCGGAACTTCTGGAAAGCCCCACCAGTCAACGAGTGAGCGGGTTTTGCCAGGTTCACCTGAGAAGAGTACCGCACTTCCTGGGTATCAAGTCCGGGAGCTCAGGAAGTGAGGTCTCCTCCCACCAATTAACATGGGACTTGACGTTCAAAACGTGAGGTCCCTTTTAAATGGACGATGGTCCAAGCCACCATTTCCCCTAAACCTTGAACGCTTCCTTCTGTAAAAAGGTGGGAGGTGTCTGGACCATTTTCCTTTTACAGGGACCTTCGAACGTCAGGTTCATTCCGAAAAAAGGTGAGAGGGTACCTTGAAACAAACCACCCCTCAACCCACCCCAACCTCGCCCCATTCACCAGCAACTCCACGCCCCAACTCCCACTTCCGCAACCGCACCCCATCCCCTAGTATCCCCCCAACATTTCTGGACTCTCGCCTTGCGCACCGCTGCCCAGGGCCGGGAGCTCCCGGAAACCTCCACCACCAGCTGCCGGGCGCACTCCTGGGCATTTCTGGCGACTTTGCCCGGAAAATCACCCTGGAGATTGAGTATGTCTCAAACATATGGGTGAGAAAAGAGTCTGAGCCCACCCCCAAATAGGGTACCCTGAAAAAACACAAACACGGGCACAAACACCAACACACGAAAACAAGAGGAAAAGAAGTAGCCTGGAACCCATCAAATGGGTCCCCGAAGATTCTAGCCTTGGACTCGAGCAGTTCTCTGCTTTGCCCACGCTCAATACACTGGATCGTTCAAAATGGGGGGTCCCCATTGCTAATGCGAAATCCGGCTGGCACAAAGGAAATCACTGCCATCTGGGATCATTAGGGACTGACTTTGAGCAACCTAGCCTGCAAATTTACTTGGAACTCTGAAAGGGCGACCGGCCCAATGGAAGCTCCTGTGCCGATGCTCCGGGGGTTCCATGTTAATCTGCCCGGATAGGGGGTAGCCAGGAAAAAAGGACTGCACCTAGCCCTCATGGCCAATACTTCTTCGGGATCCTGATTCTGATGCCTTCCGCTTCACATGATGCGACTAGCTATGACATGGGTGCGGCTTGTTTGAGTGGCTTTAAAGCGAGATCAAACGGAAGACCACAATCAAAAGGGCCCGCCTTTTGCAATGACATATCTTCCAACTGTTCGCAAGTGTTGTAGGTTTTGTTGACGGTCCCTTTCTGGGATAGTTTTAAAGTTGACGCTAATAGGAAATTGCGACTGGTGTTCAAAAAAGACTATTTGGACACATTACCTATGTCACGCAGGGTTCTCCGGTAGAATCCTGATACCCCTGGCCAAGGAGCGAGATCCTTCTTGAAGCCACCTACTTTCAAGGCGATCCTGGGTGCTTTGACAGTCGAAGCACGCAAACATCCCGTCGATCCATTTCTGCGGGGAGTCCTTTGGTAGGGGCCCGGATTCTCAAAAGGTATGGGGTCTTGGAACGTGAAGCGTGCCTCGTTCTGTTCTTGCTGATGACTCAGAACTGTTGCGTGCTGCAAACCCAAAGCACAACATTGCAATGTTGCTATGTATAGATATGTTTATGTACACCTCCATTAAAAGAGACGGGAAGCAAAAACAAAAAAACAATGAAGAACAAAAAAAGATGAACACATTATATATATATACACACCTAGAGCCTCAAATAAGAACAACGTATTGCTTAGTTGTTGCAGTGTGCTTTGCATGCTTGCTTGTTTAGGCGAAAGTTCCCGAACACCTTCCGAAGTGTAGCTTATTATGACCAGCCCTGGTGGAAACGAGTTGCGACCAACGTTGGGATATCGGCCCGCAGGCATCTGTGGGAAGTCCGCGGAACCACCAAAACAGAGTTCCAGGCTTTTGTGGCTGGGGATCATCACGAAAAGGCGGGGTTGGAAATAGGAAAGAAGCGCTTCTTTTTTTCTTCCTTTCTTTCTCCTGTTTATTTGGGACAAATGTGTGAAATTGTTGCTCAGGAGCATCCAGCTTCGCTCTCATTGGTGGTTTGGTGGTTAAGGGGGGGGGGTTCCCATTTACCCTGTACAAGAACTAGGGCTTCAAATCCAAATCCAGTTCCCACCAATCCAAACCACCCACCAAGGGTTTCCTGATATGTCTGACATATTTATGTCTGAACACCCCCTTAAACCATCCAAGGCACAGCATGGCGGCGAGCACGAGTGCGAATGCCCCCGGCCCCGCAGCGATGGGGCCTGAGGCGTTGGGACCCCGAAGGGGGGCTTGGGTCTACGTTGAGCCAAGGCCCAGGGCACACCAAAAGCAATGCTTCATATGTAGATTTTGAGGCCCTGATACGCTGAAATCGCATATTCTTGCGACATAGTCTTATGTGGACATCGTCCTGGTAGATTGCCAGAGGGGGGCAGGACGCACTCCGAAGCACCGATTCAATGGACCTACCAGGGTGCCATCTGGCCCTCTCTCCTATCAAACTACCTGCCCGGCCCAGGTTGGGCGTCCCCCTCCAAACATTTTTGAACTTTTGGCTGATCAACATACCTGTTGTTTAGCTTTGAGGGCCGGGGGACCTAATTGAGAGTTGCTCAAAGCAAGTGTGCCGCCACTGCCTGAAAAAGACATTCACTTGCCCCGCCGAATCTGACCATTCGGCTTCTGCATGTTGGTCCATTGTTCGGTCCAGGTTGATAACCTGGGGCGAGCACCAACCCTCAGCAAGGATCCGCGAATTCCATGTTCATCAGTTGCAAACAGCACGCCCCATTCGCTTGCTTCCTTGGTCGCCGTCGACCCCTTCTGCAAAAAAAAACAATCTCTTTGCGGGTTCCACCGGAAACCCGATAGCATGTCCCAAAAAGCTAAAGTCCAAAGATCCAACGCCGATAGCCATGAAGACTCCTCTGGGCGTTTTCTCCGCACTTCTCTGGCTGCCGGGGGCCCCAAGATGCCCCAAGGCCCCGGCTGTTGCTGGCGGCCGCATAGCGGTCCAGCAGGCCGATGGAGGAGAAGAGCTGCTCGTTGGCCAGGTCCAGGGCATCAAAGGCTTGCCTCGCATCGGAGAAATGTCAAAACCCGGTTGTGTCAGACCAAAGGGACAGGTCTCCCTGCGGTTTCCCGAGCAAAAACCCTGCGCAGCTGCTGCAAAAAGAAGAAATGGTATCCTGAAAAGAACCTCACTTCCTAAGTTGACTGGCCAAAACAAGTCCAACCTGTTTGTTTGCCACCAATATGGTCTTGGCGTGCGGAAAAGAACCCCGAGCTTGCAACCAAACCTGGGCATCCATGGGCCAAACCCCAATATGCACACGTGGCCTGGCAGGGCTCAAAGGTAGGGCAGGTCAAGAGAGATCCAGAGACTGAATGCATGCTGGACAAAATGTGACTTCAAAGGGAAAATTCGCTGCACGTGCTATTCTGTAGCACCCGACCCGAAACAATGGCCCGGCCAAGTCTTCATCTTGTGTCCTTTGGCTTGGGAATAGAAATGATGGAGCCCCAATAGCGGCTAACATAAAACCCAACAAAGCGCGCTTTCGATCGGAATCTCCTTTTGGGAGTCGCTCCACTTTGAGTTCCACGTTCCTATGGCTTCCTCTTGCTGCTGGTCCAGATTTCTTTTCTATGCACTGTGGCGGGTGCCTGTCAGATGGGACGGGAGGTCTTATGCATAAGGCTTTGGAGCTGAGGCGCGTCCACGCAAGATGACCCGGCAAAATGGAAGTCCTGGCTAATCCCTTCAAGACCGGTCAAGGGGTCCATATTTTTGGAAAACTGTGAAGGACTTCCCGATCCCAACAAACGTGTCCTAAAGCAGCTCACGGAGTCATCATCAGCAATTTGTGACCGTCTTGGGCTGTTGTGATGGTGGGGCAACTCCTAGCATCGTTTTCTGCTCTTCTTTTGGGTGGAGAGATTCAGATCCTTGTTGGCAACAAAACCCACCTCAAACCCAACCTGACTTAAAACCAACCTTAAAGCTTAAACCAGTCTCCTCCAGCCAACCCTTTCGGCCCCAAAATTTCGCCCCCCCTCCCCCCACCCCCAAATTTTCCCCCCCCTCCCCTCAAGGACTATTTCCCTCTCCTTCCCTCCGTTCCCTCGAAGACTCGGTTGACCCGATGGTTTGCATCCCAGCGGCACCAGCCACTCTAAGGCGTCCAGGCGCCGCGCGCTGTCCAAGCCGTGCGCCAGGCTCGCGTGGCTGAGGCTCAGCGGCGAGGAGCGCTTTTGCAGCGAGGACAGCGGGATCTCCCGCAGCGGGGAATCCTGGGCTGGGATGGGGGGATGGGGGGTTGGGGGAGGTTGGGGTTGGGACGGGGGGGTTGAATTCCTCTCAGATGCCCAAAGCACCCAGAAAGCCAAAGGTTAACATTTTTGGGACCAGAATGTGGCCACACCTTTCACACGTGCCAGTGTGCAGTGGCTGTCAAGTAATGGATGGAGTCCCTTGAAACTGGACTGGACAGTTTTGTGTTTCAACACCCAGCCAACTGAGCCTTCCTTTTGGTTGAGGCAAACATAACAAGTTGCAGGGCGCCGTGCAATACGTAACATGTGTATACAAACCTCTGTCTATATACATATATATATGTATATATATATATATACACCCGTTGGTTAATTCAAAACATAAAACCAACCTCCCGTTTAGTTTGTCTCAAACCCCCAACCCGTCATTTTGTTGGTTGCACATTGCCCATGAACCAACTTTGTTCAACCCACAACCCAACTGATCCGTGTTTTGATGACTGCTCATGAACCAAACATAGCCATGAAGCAAATCTGAAATGGAGGTCAGAATCAGGTGGCTTGGAATGCAGGGAATCTTTGGCTTTTGCCCCTTCAAGAAGACGGTTTTGGGGGATTGACTGTGGACAACTCAAAGCCCGGGACAACTTACAGGAGACTGTTCCCAACACCACCCAACCCGGGCGCGTGAAGGGCTTGGATTCACATGGCTTTGTCACAGAAGGGGATCCCCTCAACATCCAGGGTCAATGAAGCTCAGTCGCCAGCCAGAACTCTTGTCATGGTCAACAAACCTCTCTTCCATTGGAAATGTGAAAGCAAAACGCCCAGTTCATCTTGAACAAAAAGGCAACTTTCCTCAGGTTTGACAATATGGGCGGGCTCTTAACCGAGGGAGATCCTCCCACATCGCCAGACCTTCAAGACACTCCGAGAAACCAATTGGATGGTCGTGACCCACACCTCACTTTGCATCAAGCTTGCTTGAGCGATCACTTCTCTTGCATAGTGTGAATTTTAACTGGGGACCCTTGACATCATTCCGGTGGAAACTCAGGTCCAACCACTTTTCAGGGGTTCTCCACTAACACTCGTAGCCATATCCATCTCCGCAAAACCGTTTGCATCGCTGACAAGCTTCTGGCGTCTCCTCAGCTCCCGCGAGCTTCGAATGCTCGGTGTCCTCCGCCTTGCTGAATCGAGCCATGTGGACGTCGGGATACGACGTCGTGATACGATGGCTTGCGCTCCCTCGAGCCAAAGAACTGCGGTTTGTGCACGAGTTCATCACTCTAGGGGTACTTTCTCCTTTCTTTCCAGGGGTCCTTCTTTTCAGGAAACCATCAAAAATCCAGGGGAAACAGCCGGTGTTTTAAAAGAACTATGGTTGAACAGAATGGGGAATCAACCCCTATAATCACACAAACTCTTGGGGTTGTTGGGCCACAGCTAGGTTTTGCCTGATCTGCCCCCTGCGTTTTGCCGGAGACAGATGCGACCGGAAATTCGGAGACGCCTCCAGTTTAAATAGGGCACAATCAACTGAATGCTGAATGATGCCTCCATTTAGGAGTTTGATTGCGATGAGGATTTGTTTTATCCATGCAGCTTGCAGATGCTCATATTCAACAAGTCTCAATCAACAATCTGCCAGATTCACCCGCAATTTGGCCAACTACTCCTTCTGGTTGGCCCAGCAACGCTGACTGGTTGCCTGGCTTAAAAGCTTGTCACTCGTACCCTGGTCTGCGCAAATCCGACAACCAGATGACAATCAGCGGGTGTTAACGCGGGCTCCTGGACTGTTCCCAGCTCCCCTGCTACAAGTCAAACATTTAGTGGGGTTAGTGGAAGCCACTCAACCAGCCAAAAAGCTGAAAACCTGAGGTGCCGAAAGTCAAAACAATTCGTGGGTTAGGTGGCAACTACCAAAAAGCCAAAAGCCTGAGGAACGCCATGGCTGAGAAGCAAGAAATGGAGCTGTCCATCACAAGCCCATGGCTTGGGGTTCCGCCTCGTGCTGAGCCAGCCATACGCCAATGCCCAGCAGTACCGCCAAGATACCTCGGATCTGAGAAGGATTTACATATTCAGAGGCTTTTTCTTTTGGAACCCCCAAAAAAGTGCGGTTCCATGGTCACCCGGAGTCTTTCTACAGCCAGCCTGCTGGACCCCAAAGGCAAGCCTGAAAGGTGGGCAATTCTCGGCTCCAATGTTTGGAAGGCGCTGCTGCAACTCTGCAGCGTGTCTGCAATGTTTACCGAAACTTACAAATATATGACATACGGGATCCCGAAGTCAACCGGCGGTAGGCTGGTTTTGCCCCAAAGTGAGCTCGCCGTTAAAAGAGGCGCAAACTTGAGGAGCGTGTTGTACACCACGCCAAGCAGACTTTCGCAGGCAAGCAGGGCATCTGTGCGACTTCACTGGTAGAGAAAGAAGCGAAACTGAGCACACTAGATGTCAAGAGACGGCAAGGTGACGTCCCGTGGGACGCTGTGCACCGAACCCTCAAGCTTCAATACCAACCACGTAGAAAGGTGTATACGGACGTTGCCGTTATAGCCGAACCCGTGTAAACGTTGTAAGGAAGAAGGGATGATAGTCACACCAGTAGTCCTGACAGTGCGGCGCGAGGCAGTTGTTTTCCTCCTAGTGCCAATCACGGATATCCGCAGTCACACATCAGATCTTGAACCTCAATTGTGTCTTGAGCCAAATGGCGATCAATGGAACTTGGGAAGCAACACCAACAAGGACCTCAGAACTGCTACCCAATTTCGGCACGGGGCCTAGAGGGTTTTAACATCCCCCATTTGGGTCGCATTGTTCATCATGCGGTCCAAACACCACAAAACGTTCCACTGGCCACGGCTTCAACTACGAAATCGTGTCGTGCATTCTTTTACTTGCTATCACTACACCGTTCATTCGCTGTGAAACATGCCGGGTTCGATTGTACGAAAAGTGAAACATTCATCCTCCAATCGAAGCACACATCCATATGCAGGTGTATATAATACACTGTGGCCACTTCACTTGACCGCCAGTGAACATTCCAGCTGCCGCATTTGCGCATCGCGCAGCTGTCATCCATAAATGGGTTGGCCACAAATGTCCACCATGCGCGCCCGCTTGTGATCGGTCTGCATATCTCCGGCAAAGAAACATCGGTGAGTAATCAATGCAAATCATAGCCATTCCAGATACCATGGACAATGCATAAATAATGAAAAGATATCATCTATAAGGTAATAGTTCCATCCATGAATATCCAGAGCGTCATAGTCATCGGAATATGTAACCATGTACACATCCAATCATCTTGGACACATGAATATAAATCATGACATAAGTCGTTCCACCGAAACAGTGTCGATGTGACGCAAGTAACAGATGGGGACTGACCCACATCGTACCGCAATCAGCATCTTCACGAAGCATACCTGTCCCCAATGGACAGCCTATGGGTACGTCGGCGGAACTCCTCGTCCAAGTTCTTCTGGGCTTCTCGTGCCCGGACACACTTCTTGTTGTAGTCCTCTGGCAACCAGTGCCCTTTCCGAAGGCACCAATCCAGCAGGGGTGTGTCGCATTTGTTCGGGTCGATGGCCGAGATGATGGCGCTCACGTTGACCGTGTAACCATTCTTGCCAAGGTTTAGGCCATCCCTCACGAATGATATATACTTACAGTTGAAAGCTAGTGCAAAACATCTGAAAATAATATCACCCACCGGGTGCACTCGGTCCTTGACCAGGAGCTTCATTTCTTCCTTGGTGACATCGAGGATTCTTGCTGCAATCCACAGCTTGTAGAATGTGTATAGTCCCTCGCATTTGTTCACCATCATACGAATATATTCGTCACGCTCCTCAACCGATCGGAAGGCTCTTGTCCGAACATTCTCCGATTGAGAAATCTTCGTTATTGTTGATGGCAAAAGTATACCTTCCTGATCGTGCTCAGTGATGTTGGGGTACCTCCTGAAGTCATTGTGGTAAGGGCAGCCATCTCTCCCCTCGAGCTTGGCAATCATCGTTCTATCCTCACCACCTTCAAACATCCCCCACATCTTGGACAGCTGGAGTGCGATAAATCCTGCCATGTACTGAGCCTCACGCGGCTCGTCAAGGCAGATCGCCATCCGTTGGGAACTTATAATGTCCCGTGACGCCAGATCGGTGTCGCGGTAATGCCAACCGCTGTCTTCTTCTTCTGACGCATAGCCGGATGTATATCCTTGCGTGTCCATGTCGTCATCTTCTCCCGGAACTTCCTCCGCTTCGTCTTCATCCTCCTGTGCTGCCGCATCGTGGTTAGCTTCTTCCTGTGCACGCCTGGCATCTCCAGAGACGTTGGGGTTTTGGTTGTCCTCCTCGTCATCGGATTTGATGTGAATGTAGTATCTTCCGATGGAGATCAGTTGTGCCTCGCACTCCAGGCATAAGCAGAAGCAGGTGGGGATCGCGGTCGCACATGATGGACATATCCGGCACCTCAGTCCTTCCCATGTCTCATCATTCAGGATGACGACTTTGCTGACTTCGTCCCGGACCTCGTTGACCTGTGCGTTGAACTCTTCCATCTTGTTGTTTCGATAGAGTTCGCAAGCACGATTAACCATGTCAACGATGTAGTGCAGATTATCGGCACCTGTCTCAGTCTCCGGCATCCTCTCGCTGATCTTTGCGACGTTCTGGAGGAACATCGCAGCCGACTCTTGGGAAGAGTTGACAAAGCCAGGGCAGATCTCGTTCTCCACACACTTCGAGTACGCCCTCTTGATGTCAGCGTACTCCAGGCGCTTCCCTCCATTGCTTTTGCCAATCCAAATGGACTTGACCTCATAGAACGGGATCACGTCAAAGACCATGAAAGTCCCATTAGCCGCGACTCCAGCCCCATACCGCGCGAGGGTTGCACTGGGAATATAGATGATCGCAATCGGATCCCCTCTCCTCACGTTCCGTAGCGTTGTCTTCGTCGCCACGTTCATCTCATCCCATGGAGCAAACGCCCCGAAGTGCAGTGCTAGCCTGTTACCGCCATCGATTCCGCCGGGGACTAGCCCACAGCGTACGATGCTTGGCAGGTTTTCCACATACGTCACATGGAATGCTCCTCCGAGAGTATCACCCATTCTTGCGGAATACCTATTCGCCAGTGCGGATGAGCTCATGAATCCAAAATCACTGTGACCGGTTGTGACTCGGATGCACCAAGGTCTGTACCATCCATCGCATCTGTTGAACATCCTGTCGATGTCGTCCCGATCCACGCCAGCCTTGTTCATTTCCTCTCTGGCTGCCCTCGTGTCGTTCGGGTTCATGATGCTCGGAAACCTTGCTGCCAGAACCTGGAATCTCGACTTCTTGCTTCCGGATTCCTGCCACTTGATCACCTCCATGATGCCCATGTATCGTTTCGCTCTCGAGGTGTTAGGTGGGAATATGTCGTTGTTTCGGTCGTCAATGACAGCATCAATGTCGACCCATCCACCCTCGTCGCACCTGAAAGCACTTCCTCGGCAATTGCCGATCTTGTGTCGAAGGACTCTGCATAGGTCGTGAGATAGCTGGTTTGCTTGGTCCCTTGTAGTAAATACCGAGCGATCATCACCAATCCTGCATAGTGGAGCACCGTCGAAAGGAGCAATGCAAAAGTTGACACTCTTGCCAAGTTGCATCACATCCACTTGCTCAAGGATTGCACCTCTGGGAAAGTACCTGGGGTCAACAATAGACGCGTATGCCCGTGGCATATGCACATCGATCACGTCGCCGTACTTCGGGATGTAGCACGGGATGGTGTCGCATCCCATCTCAAGCGTCTTCTTGAATGTCCTGCTGTCCCCGCACGGGTTGTATGTGAGGTCGACGCCACCACATTGTAGCTCTCCTCCCTCAGCCGTGTCAGCCATCTCCACCAAATTAATAGTGTAGCTGTACATCTCAATTGTTTCTTTCCCTGCTTGTCCCCCTTTCTTTCTTTCCTTGGACGTTGATGAGGTCGGTTCCTCCGTATCCCCCATGTCTTCATCAGATGAAACAGGGTCACTGCTGAGTAGCTCACGGAGCACCTTCATCGCCTTCTCATTTCCAGCAGCCTCCTCAATGTCCTTGCAGTCGCCGTCGTGGGCCAGGTTCGCGCACTTCTTACAGATCCCCATATCTCCCATGCACTTCTCCATTGACTCCAGGAATCCTAGTGCCGCTCTCCGCCCGTCGATCACACGCTGCTTCTTGTCCTCCTTCTCAGTATTGG